AAACTTGAGGTCTCGCGGTTCTGTGTCAGAATTCTTTTCTTTCAACTGAATCCGCTTTGATTTATTGGTCAAACCCACATTAACATTTTGGACCTGATTGACACACCCAAAAACCCAGGATCGTTGATTCCCCCCCACGAAAATCAAGAAGGACATAAATTCGACTTCGAATCAGCGAAAATCATCGACCAAGCCCGGTCAAAACACGCAAGAGATTTTCTCGAGGCTTGGCACTCTTCAATCAACTCTATAAGTAGGCACATTGAACCGGGTCACGTGTACACGCCAATACAACTCAAGGATCAAATGACGCAACAAAAGGTCATATCGCGACCTGAGAAGAAACCAAAACCGCAAGCGAGACTAAAACATCCCCCCGCCCCGTGCACGCATACACACCGTCACCCTCCCGCACCAGCTTGACTGCGAACCGAGTCGAACACAGTGAGAACAAGTGACTTTTATAGTCGGTAGAGAGTAACCATATCTAAACGAACGGGTACAAGTAGAACGCTGCCACTTCATAAGATGTCACTTCGGCTGGTGATGAAACGTTTGTATACAAGTTACCAGGCTCGGCAAATAGAGGAAATGAGACACATTTATTTATGGTGCAGCAGGAGGAATCAGTAGCCCTGGTAATTAGTAAATCTATCCACAACGCCATGCTGTGTACAACTGAGTGTCCGAGTTGATGTACCTTTCTTCGACACCTCCCAAATCTCGCTCGATTCTGATAGAGGGAATATACGCACGTTCTATTCTACAGCCCCATCTTGTTTGGATAACTCCATAATCGGTTTCAAAACACTTGAGTTGAGATAGTTTCGTGACATTGGGCAGGTTTCTGTGGAAAACCCGCACACAACTGCACGATAAATTCCTTGATTCAACTTTCAGACATTCCGATCCAGTTCCGCTGGTCAACGAGTATGCTTATTTGATCTGGTGTACATCTTGCTTCTTGCCCACAACCACAGTCGTAGTTTACATGCTAGAGATTGATACACGACAGTGCACCGATTCATGTGCCACGGGAAAACAGACATAGTGCCTTGACCGCCATTGTGTCAAGTTTTTGATTTTCGGGATATCCATGAGAAGTTTTCCATTTTTACCCGCACTGCTTCATGTCTCTCTGCCTTTTACATCAAACGCGTTTGATTGCATAACTTGTCGTGAAATGCACATTCGTTAGTATCTTTTCTCGGTCGATCCCATTGGATCGCTCGTTTTTCCACCTTCTTGACCATCTGCCCTGGGCTCCCGAGTCACATTTTACCTGTCCCGTCCTCTCTTTTTATTATCTGTCCGTGACACATTCAGTCGAGTTCCAGTCCTTTCCAGCATATTCCTCACCTCTTTTCACTCTTGCAAAATGTTCTTATTGATGGAACGACTCGAGATGTGTGATTTATTTATTCAAGTGTATTTGTGGTGTTGATTCAACGAGTTACTCACTGCAAAGGATTGCAAATACTAAACAACTTTTCTATTTAAATGTCAGGCAACCTCAGAGGCGCATTTCCATTAAATCCATTGGGATTCGAACCAGGTATCGTCATTGTCTTTGAAGGCACTGGATCTAATCTGGCTGTCTGGCTGTCTAGCAGGCTGGCTGACTGATTAGCTGACTGGCTGGCTGTCCGTTTGTCTGATCATCTGTTTCGTCCTGACGATTACTTGAATAACAATTTTCGGCTTCTCAACTATACGCATGCTTCAGGGTGTTTGCCTACATATACTGTGCGAAACCCAGTTAACGGTAACCTAAAGATAAACGACGCATTCGCCACAAGAGCACAACCTGTGTAAACACAAAAGTGGCACCAAGGCAGTGAACGCCGTCACTTGCGGTTGCACAACCAAATCAGGCGGTGTTGTTCAATGTGGTCCAAACTGATTCTCCGATCTCACCCACCCCTATCCCGCCTATCCGTCAAACCGATAAGCATGTTTTCACATTTTTCAGTTCTGTCTGCAGCGTCTTGATAACACGGGTTCATTGCTGGTTAATGAAACACAAATTAGAGAGATAGGAGAAAAGAAAACAATCTGATGGATTTTTTCTCGTGAAACAAATCTGGTACACCTGAAATCTTTAAAAAAACATAAAATGGATAGAGTTATGCATAGGAACTTGGATAGTAAATTTGCTACAAAACAAATGTAGAATCAATTTCCAGTGCAAGATTCGAATTGTGTGATCTCACATCGATTTGTAAAAATCCCAAACGTTACAGTGAAATAACAGTTACTAGGTTGCATGAAACCATCAATAGCAAACGGGTTTCCATAGAGTAGTTATTCCTCTTTCTTATTTCAATTCAGAAATTCTTTCTGCAAGAATTATGATACTCTTTAAGTTCATTTTCGTGGACTGTGAAACCATGGTTCCGTGAAATGTGATTGACAAAGTGTTCCAATTGAAGTGGACAGGTTAACCGCCCATTCACAGTTTCTGGAACACATACTGTAATAGTTCTGCTGACGATAAAAGCTCTATTGCACGCGGGGTATAATTGGAACAAGAAATGCTAGACAAGAAACGAAGAAATAGTTTGACTCGAGGAAGGGTTCAGGGCGGCATGATGCCAACTACTTGATTTGTAAGGATACGACTATGTACAAAACAATCTTATCTTTTCGGTTAGAAATTCTGATGTTTGCCGATCTCTCACCTTGCAAACAGGTTCATTTTCATGGATTTAATGGCATGCCTACAAATCGCAAACTGTCGCTTAGTGAACTGCAAATGTGGTCTAGACAAACCATAAAAATCTTTTGAAACTATGCCCCAAGAAGAAGCACAGTACCCTATTTAGTTAAATCTGGAATTATCGTGAAATACTCACGGCTATTACGGCACTTCACGTGGTCGAACCATTTGTTTATTCACTTATTCAAAAACTGGTGCTCATGCCCAACGTATTTTTTTGCCGTTGATAAACATCTTGCTAAGCAGTTCATGTATCAGAAACGAATTCTCTTTAGTTGTTTAGACATCCCCGCCAGATAACCCATTCAATTTCAAATGGTAGGTATAGGCTAGGGTAATGATCACATTCATGATAAATCGATTGCATTCGTGATAAACCGTAGCTTTTACTTATGCAGAGTCAAGAGAGTTAGGTCACCGTAGCAACGGACTGAGGGATTTTGAATCTCAGCTACGTTGGGACCACCACCACCATCACCACCACCACCACCACCACCACCACCACCCATATCCTTCATTTCTGTTTCTTTTCAGGCAGCCTTTGTTTAGTCACAACTCCCTGCCTATAAATATATAGGGATATGCAATAGGTTAAAAATGATAATAACACTATCTTAATTATTATCCTCAACATTGTTTCTTGCAGTTTCCTGATAAAGTCAGTCTGTCTGACCTAAACATTATTTTCCAAATAGGTCAGAACATGATACACCAACCGGTTAAAGTGAGCCCGATACTGAGGGCTAATTCATCAGTCTTTCAGTAGAATATCCTTGACATGAGGCTGAATGGTGGAAACGGTATCTCTTCGTAACATTGATAACTTTTCACAGATGATTCACATAATTCACATCCATATATGTATTATCGATTCATCTATACCAATATGGATCATTCAGCTAACTATGAAAACATTTAACAGTAACGGACACACTGTGTGCATCGGCCGGCCACCCGGCCAGGTCCCTATCTCACTTCCCCATTCATCTACTGCATAACAATATGATTGATGCCAGCCTAGCGATCCAACTTGTTGAAATAAACAGTCCTGAACCGTTCAACGTTTCCCTAATTTTGAAGCACCAGATTTCGACTGGATTGAACTAGATCACTCAAGAATGGCGTGTGCAATGAGACTGAATTTGATAGAGTAGATTCACGAGACTACCATTGCGTTCAGGTATCGTTACATACGTATGTGTAAACAACCACTCGACGCTCCTGTTCTTTCATATCGTGTGATCCGGTTTCGATGGATGTATGGAAGGCCTAACTCTCCCCCTCCAATCTCTCTGTCTATCTCTAATTCGCGCATCAGCGAGACGCAATCTGATTAAATGTAAGTATTTCAGAACGGTACATGTATTTGAAAGCGTACGATTTACCGTACATGAACAGGGACCTTGACTGACCTCAATCGATGGCGATGAACGATTAACGACGGTTCAGTAGACATCAGCTTCCGATTAGGATAGAATAGCCACAAATGACCGCGAGGAATATGTTGACAATGGAAACCGCGAAAGGGTCTGCTACAGTCAGGCAAACGTATACGAAAACTGTAACCAACCACTTCAACTAATCAGCACGTTCAATCACTGTGGTACATAAACGAAGTTTCCGGGAGTAAATCACATGATATGTTCTATTCCGGATGTTTAT